TACATACATACATACATACATACATACATACATACGTACATACATACATACATACATACATACATACATACATACATACATACATACATACATACAAACATACATACAAACATACATACAAACATACATACAAACATACATACATACGAAACGAAACGAAACGAAATAATTTATTTGACCTCAATAAAGAAAATAAGGTGCAGGTTGACTGTGAGGAGTTAGTATAAAACTCATCGAGCACAGCCACCTAAGCCAAAAACTTCAGAATCTCTGAATGAAATATGTTAACCTTCAGATGTTACTAATTGATTACAAAAACAAAATCATCGGGCACAGCCATCAAACAAAAAATTTCAGAATCTCTAAATGTTATATATTAAGTTCACGGTGTTACTAGTTGTTCGTAGAAATAAAATTCTCGAGTACCACAAAAAACTTCAGATTCTCTAATTGGAGTATATTATATTTACGGTGTTACTAACTGTTCATAAAAATATTATCATCGTGCACCACAAAAAACTTCAGATTCGCTAAATGGAATGTATTAGCTTTGAGATGTTACTAATTGATCCTAATAATAAGTTAGGTCTATATTTCTCTATATACAAAACTGCATATAGAATACCTGATTGAATCTATTTATATAAGCTATAGATAGAAGAGAATAGGATCACATACGTATATAAAAATATCTACGTACACGTCAGCACACACACATACATACAACTGAGCATACATGATGTCATAAATATTTTATAAAAATGTAATTTATATTCTTAAAACTAGTGATTTTAATTAATCAAACTAATAAATGCTTTCAAATGATAGTTAAAGTTCTGCATGTTCGATCTGTCATAATTAAATCCTTTATTTAATCAAAAATTCCAAATTCTGGGTCCTCTGCAAATGATGTGTTGATGTAAAATTTTCGTTTTTGATTTGTTGGAACAGATGAAATTGATGCGCCTTTGATTCTTCGTTCGTTTATAATAACCGTCAAAAATAGGAGGTAGTTTACCAGTCAATTGTTTGTCGATGAATTTTGTCGCGTGATATGTACTCATTTGATCGAAAGTCAGATTGCTTGTCGTGCGTGGCGAATAGCGGTTGTGAATGGGATTGAGCTTTGGAAAGTGTGATTGTTCGCATCGCTCTCTTCATGATTATTCTTATTGGATTTGTTGTAGATGGATAGGCGCTTGACCAGACTGTATTGCAGTATGAGATATATGGAGTACAGATGGCTTTATATAGCATGTTAAGAATTCTTTTAGGCAAGAAAATTTTATTTTATTT